AAAAAAAAAGGAAAAGGAAAAAACTTGCTTACTAATACATGATGTCTTGCTTGTAACTGTGTAATGTCATTCCACTCAAAAGACTGTGATTACTGATCCCTTCAAATGTGCAACGATCCATTTGACGACGGAAACGTTTATCTCGTGGTTTTGAAAACCTATAGTGACAGAATCCATACGGTGTTGCCTAAAATTTACTCTAAAAACCTAGGTTATTAATCTGCAATATTACAGAGCTTAAGATAGAATCTATTTAATTTTCTTTTGCTTAAACAAAATTAATCTTTTTCAAACGTAAAAAATCAGCTTCATTCAAAAAGTCATTATATTTGTTGATCACTTTTTAAGCATCATTTGCCAATGTGAATTAACTAAGCACTGTTTATTGCATCTTATCGAAATTGCAAATAACTGTCCTTTTTGGCACGACTAAGTCACTACAATTTTTTTAAGGTAGATTTAAAATTGAGATTTTGCCTGTACAGTACTCTTTTTTTTTCGTTATTACATTTTAATAGTGATTAATAAACAGATTTGATTGTTTCTTGCAAAATTATTCCAACATTACTACAACAGTTATAGTACAATAAGTTTTTTTTTCTGGTTGTTTTTGGTAACATACCACATTTTGTTCGTCGCCACCACCAGGAATTGCTGGAGTATTTATTGAATGAATGATAGCTAACAGCAAATTCCATTCTGGTTTTTCGCCGTCTTCAAGCTTAACATACAAACCTTCCAGATTATTGCCACCTTGTATAAAATCGACAAATACTTCTGGCATACGATAGTTGCATGGTCCGCTTACACATTGTACAAGCTAAACAAGCAATTCCAGTTATTGACAATACTAATAGACAACAGGTGACATAAAATTAGGCAAATAAGAGAAATTTTTTTTAATCAACTGAGACGTAAATTATTATCCAATTAAATAACTATTAAAAAATGATGACAGTCTAATATTGTAAAATTGAACCACGGTTGCAGTAATTGTTATTCTGTTCTGATACTGTCTTTTGTTGTTACTGTTTCAAAATCAAAATTTTTCTACGGGAGCTATGATACAAGATTGAATTGCGATAACAGAAACAAAAAAAGTCAGATTAAGCCAGTAAAAATAACCCTATATCGAGCAAGAATGTTGCCTTTGATATCGTGATGAAGAATATCAAATGTATATTTGGCCTTTGTTGTTGTGTTGATACCATTTTTCTTTCCAGATTTCAATTCATAGATTAATGTTGTAGTGTTGATATCATATTCGAAAAATATTAATCTGTAAACAATAAAAACTTATTTGATAAACATGACCAAAAATATCACCTTAAGATTTAATCAGACACAAAAAAAAGTGTTTCTTCTTTCCTTAACAAAAGAAATATCTTCATTATCTTTACTTATCTTATCGTAATTTTTTAAAAGTTTTTTTTATTTTTTTGCTACAAAACAAACCGTGTTTTATTCGGGATTCTGCTTAATTGTTCCGGTGTTAAATTGTTCAAGTCAATTTTAATGGTTTTATTTTGTTTTAGCTTTTCTTCAGTGGCAGTTTTGTCAACATTTTGTTCAGCAGATTCCGGTACAGTTTCTTCACTGGATGGTACTCCATTGTCATCAACAACGACATCACCTGACGATTCATGTCCACTGTGCACAAGGTGATCATTGTCATCATCGGTTACCGATGCACAAAACAGTGCTATAAAACAGA